CAAGAGAGTGTTCCTACAAAGACTTCACCAATGGCAAACCCGACAACTTCAATGGGAGCGGGGGAGTCATCACTTTAATGCAATGGTTTGAAAAGACTGAAGTAGTCTTTCAAGTGTGCTCTTGCCCCGAAGCGAGCAAAGTTAAGTTCGCAGCCTTCACTTTCACCGGCCGGGCCCTTACTTGGTGGAACTGTCGGATTAATTCACTTACTCTCGAAGTGGCTAGTTCCATATCCTGGGCAGAACTAAAAACCTTGATGATGAAGGAGTACTGCCCGAGAGGTGAAATTCAAAAGCTGGAACAAGAACTTTGGAACCTCAGGATGACGGGCTCCGACCTTGAAACCTACACCACCCGATTCAATGAATTGGCTCTCCTCTGCCCAACAATGGTTATTCCGGAGGAGAAAAAGGTGGAGCGATACCTTTGGGGACTGTATCCCCATGTGCAAAGTAGTGTCCTGGCTTCAAGGCCAACTACTTTTGACAGTGCCAGGGAGCTGGCACAACAACTTGTTGACCACCGAGCCGGTCATAATACTACAACCACCACCACTGATCAATCAAAAGGGGGAAACAACAAAAGGAAGTTCTGGAACCAAAAGAAGAGCCAACCAGCACAGGACCCCGCTAAGAAGCAACAAACTGTTGCTGTCCATGCTGCCACTAATGTTGCCACTACTGTACCACCGAAGCCATATGCTGGAACCCTACCCAAGTGCAACAAGTGCAACTTTCACCACAATGGTGCTTGTAGGGAGATGCACTGTAACAACTGCGACAGGAAGGGGCACACTGCTCGTTTCTGTAAAGCGCCGGCTCGACCAATCAACCAAGTCGCCAGTACGGGGGCAACCCGAACCTGCTACAACTGTGGAGACGCAGGTCACTTCAAAAGAAACTGCCCCAAAGCACAAGCCCCTAATGCTGGTGGAGTAGGAAGAATCCTGGCAATAGGACATGGGGAAGCAGTTGAGGATCCCGCGGTGGTTACCGGTACGTTTCTCCTCAATAACTCTTATGCATGCGTACTATTCGATAGTGGAGCGGAGAGGAGTTTTGTGAGCCACCAATATAAACAATTACTTGAACAAAATCCCCAATCACTAAAGGATACTTATGTAGTAGAAATGACAAATGGGAAAGTAGAACGCACTAGCGATATATACTCAGAGTGTACTCTCACTCTAGACAACCATACATTTAAAATTGTCCTGATGCCGGTCACCATAAAAAGCTTCGACGTAATCATCGGGATGGATTGGTTAGTTCCTCACCGTACCGACATTCTATGTTACGAAAGGGCCGTTCGCCTCAATCTACCAAATAACGAAACCCTTCTCATCTATGGTGACAAACCTAGTGTGAATTTACAAATCATCTCATGCATCAAAGCCCAAAAGTATCTCCGGAAGGAGTACCACGCCTTCTTGGCCCACGTAGTAGACAAGAAACAAGACGTGAAAGACATCAAAGACATCCCCGAAGTGTGTAACTTCCCGGATGTGTTCCCAGAAGATCTTCCTGGTGTACCACTCGCACAACAAGTCGATTTCAGAATTGACTTAATACCCGGAGCTACCCCCGTAGCCAGAGCTCCATACCGCCTCGCACCAACAGAAATGCAAGAGTTGTCTAGTCAGTTGAACGAGCTTTTGAGCAAAGGGTTCATCAGACCAAGCTTCTCACCTTGGAGAGCACCAGTCCTTTTTGTAAAGAAGAAGGACGGATCCTTTCGCATGTGCATCGACTATTGGGAACTAAACAAACTCACCATCAAGAACCGATATCCTCTACCCCGAATCGACGACCTTTTCGACCAACTCCAAGGAGCAAATTTCTTCTCAAAGATCGACCTAAGGTCAGGTTACCATCAGCTACGAGTTCAAGAAGAAGATATTCCCAAAACTGCATTCAGAACTCGCTATGGGCACTACGAGTTTGTGGTGATGTCCTTCGGTTAACAAACGCACCTGCGGTATTCATGGACCTAATGAATAGAGTGTGTCGACCCTACCTAGACAAGTTTGTAATCGTATTCATCGACGATATCTTGATCTACTTGCGAAGCGAAGAAGAGCATCGCCTACATCTACGCCAAGTGCTAGAGACACTAAGAGCGGAGAAGCTTTATGCTAAGTTCTCTAAGTGTGAATTCTGGATTAGAGAAGTGGATTTCCTTGGCCATGTGGTAAGTGAGAAAGGCATACATGTGGATCCCTCCAAGATCAAGGCAATCGAGAATTGGTCAGCACCCAAGACGCCAACCGAAATTCGACAATTCCTTGGGCTTGCTGGCTACTACCGAAGATTTATACAAAACTTCTCCAAGATTGCAAAACCACTCACCACCTTGACGCAGAAAGGTGTAATATTCAAGTGGGGAAAATAAACAAGAAACTGCTTTCCAAACGTTAAAACAAGCCCTATGCAGCGCACCGATCTTGTCTCTCCCAGAGGGAACCGAGGACTTCGTAGTGTACTGTGATGCTTCGAATCAAGGCCTCGGATGTGTGCTCATGCAGAGAGGGAAGGTTATCGCGTATGCATCAAGACAGCTTAAGACGCACGAGGTTAATTATACTACGCACGACCTGGAATTAGGAGCAGTGGTATTCGCTTTGAAGATCTGGAGACACTACCTCTACGGCACGAAATGCACTATCTTCACTGATCACAAAAGTCTTCAGCATATCCTCAATCAGAAAGAGCTCAACATGCGACAAAGGAGATGGGTAGAGTTGCTGAATGACTACGAGTGCGAAATTCGTTATCATCCGGGCAAGGTCAATGTAGTGGCTGATGCTCTAAGCAGGAAGGAGTACTCGGGCCGCCGAGTAAAATCCTTAACAATGACGATCCATTCCCACACGACCATACAAATCAAGGAAGCTCAACTAGAAGCTTTGAAACCAGAAAAGGTGGCAGGAGAGACATTAAGGGGAATGGATAAAAACTTAGAAGTCAAGGATGATGGAGTACGTTATCTCATGAATCGAATCTGGACACCGAAGTTCGGTGGACTCCGAGACGTCATCATGAATGAAGCACACAAGACTCGATATTCCATCCATCCCGGGTCAGATAAGATGTATCTGGACCTCAAGAAATTATACTGGTGGCCGAACATGAAAGCTGAGATTGCTACCTATGTGAGCAAGTGTTTGACTTGCGCCAAGGTCAAAATCGAATACCAGAAACCATCCGGGCTATTACAACAGCCGGATATACCTGAGTGGAAGTGGGAATGAATAACCATGGACTTCATAACCAAGCTGCCTAAGACATCGGGCGGGCTTGACACCATATGGGTAATCGTAGACAGATTGACCAAATCAGCACACTTCCTACCGATAAAAGAAACCGACAAGATGGAGAAGCTGACTAGAACGTACATCAGAGAGATTGTACGACTCCATGGTGTGCCGATATCCATTATCTCCGATAGATATAGTAGATTTACCTCACGGTTTTGGCAGTCTCTACAAAAATCATTGGGAACTAGGCTTGACATGAGTACGGCCTACCACCCACAAACCGACGGACAGAGCGAACGAACCATTCAAACGTTGGAAGACATGTTAAGAGCTTGTGTGATAGACTTCGGTAAAGCATGGGATACCCATCTACCGCTTATCGAATTCTCCTACAATAACAGCTATCATACTAGCATCAAAGTCGCTCCATTCGAAGCTCTTTACGGTCGCAAATACAGATCACCCCTGTGTTGGGCTGAGGTGGGGGATACACAGCTAGCTAGAGGGCAAGTCTCTAATAGCACCCTCACTGGCCCTGAAATCATAAGGGAAACCACAGAAAAGATCGTTCAAATTCGAGAAGACTGAAAGCGTCTCGCGATCGGCAAAAGAGTTACGCAGACAAACGACGCAAACCCTTGGAATTCCAGGTGGGTGATCGTGTACTACTTAAAGTTTCCCCTTGGAAAGGAATGATACGATTCGGCAAACGCGGGAAACTAAATCCAAGGTACATCGGGCCATTCGAAATCCTTGCTAGGATTGGGCCAGTAGCATACAAACTTCGATTACCTCAGGAACTCGACAAAGTACATCCCACATTTCACGTGTCGAACCTAAAGAAGTGTTTGTCTGATGAGACACTCGTAATACCACTCGACGAATCGAAGTTAACGAAAATCTCCACTTCGTGGAGGAACCAGTCGAAATCATGGATCGGGAAATCAAACGAACGAAACAAAGTCGTATTCCCATCGTGAAGATCCGTTGGAACGCTAAACGAGGACCCGAATTCACCTGGGAACGCGAGGATCAGATGAAACAAAAGTATCCACATCTCTTCCCAAACTCTTGAAATCTCAGTCAAAATGAAAATTTCGGGACGAAATTCCTTCTAACGGGGGGATGATGTGACAACCGTCAAATTTCGGTCAAGTCAAAGTCAAACAAAGTCAACAAGTCAAACCGGTCAACTCCAATAACCCTTGTATGTTAGGGTTTACGTTATGTAATCACTATACAATTCGCTATTTTAATGAGAAATCATCATTTGGAAAGCTCATGTGTTTGATTTTCCTTAGCCTTAACAGTGCTAAACAACGAACCAAAGCGATAAAACACTATCGCACAATCATCGGGATTGTGTACGACACTAAAACACGGTTTAACGGGGTTTACGAACCTTGCGTTGTGAAGCCGGACACTCAAATTAATCACAAACGAAACCTCTCTAAATCGTTTTCACTCTATCTCTTTCTATTTGAAATCTCTCCCAAATCTCTCCCAAATCTCTCTCAAAAGTTACTTTAACTTTTTGTAATCATTTGGGTCATATCGACCCTTAACCGGGTCAAAAATCGCTTGAAACGGGGTAAAAACGGGTAAAATAGCCTTATGGACCTAGAACTGAAGCTTCAGGACCGAAGCCTCTCATCCGAGGCCTCGAATCCGAAGCCTCTCATCAGGACCGAAGCTGAAGCCTCTCAGGAGACCGAATCCGAAGCCATCAGACAGCAGCCTCGCATGCAAGGGTCCGAATCCGGCCTCCATGCGAGGGGTCTCGCAGACGGCCCCTTTTTACCGTCAAAACTGCCAGATTTTCAGGCGAGTGTCAAACTGAAGTACGTTAAATTAGGCTACCATTACTTGATTACCAATCTTTTCACTCTTTCTCTCCTCCATCTCATTGTTGTCACCGCCGTCCACGCCACCCAACTGAATCTTGAAGATGTCAAGAACCTCTACGCTCACCTGCAATACCACTTCTTTGCCGTCTTTGCCGTGACTTGTACGGCCGTGTTCGGGTTCACAACCTACCGTACGACCCGACCCACACCCGTTTATCTCGTTGACTATTCTTGCTACCGACCGCCGGACCACCTGAAAGTCCCATACCACGTGTTTATGGACCATTCGAAACTTCACGGCGCCTTCAAAGAGCCGTCGCTTGAGTTTCAACGTAAGATTCTTGAACGTTCCGGTCTCGGAGAGGAAACTTACCTCCCGGCTGCGCTTCATGCCATCCCGGCTGTACCATCGATGGCAACTGCTAGAGAAGAAGCAGAGGAGGTGATGTTTGGAGCTCTTGACAATCTTTTCAAATCGACGAAAATCAATCCGAAAAACATCGGGATCTTGGTGGTTAATTGCAGTCTTTTCAATCCAACTCCGTCACTAAGCTCCATGATCGTTCACAGATACAAGCTCCGAGGAAACATTAAGACATTTAATCTGAGCGGGATGGGTTGCAGTGCCGGTGTGATCGCCGTTGATTTAGCAAAAGATATGCTACAAGTTCACCGAAATACGTACGCGGTGGTCGTCAGTACATAGAATATCACCCAAAACTGGTACTTCGGTAATAAAAAGTCAATGCTGATCCCAAACTGTCTTTTCAGAGTCGGTTGCGCCGCCGTGCTTTTATCAAACAAGTCCGCCGATAAACGCCGGTCAAAATACAAACTCCTCCACGTCGTCCGTACCCACTACGGCTCCAACGACACTGCTTTCAAATGCGTTTACCAAGATCAAGACGACGCAGGTAACACCGGAGTCTCGCTTTCCAAAGACTTAATGACTGTCGTCGGCGGCGCATTGAAGTCAAACATCACCACATTAGGCCCACTCGTACTTCCAATCAGCGAACAGCTTTTATTTTTCGTCAACCTCGTCGCCAGAAGACTCATAAACTCAAAAATCAAACCATATTTACCGGATTTTAAGCTGGCGTTTGATCATTTCTGCATCCACGCCGGCGGGAGGGCGGTGATCGACGAAATGGAGAAGAATTTGCAGCTGACGGAGGAGCACGTTGAAGCGTCCCGGATGACGTTGCACCGGTTCGGGAACACGTCATCAAGCTCGATTTGGTACGAATTGGCCTACACAGAAGCTAAAGGGAGAATGAAGAAAGGGAACCGGGTTTGGCAAATCGCCTTCGGAAGCGGGCTCAAATGCAACAGCGCGGTCTGGGTGGCTGTTCGAACCGTCGCACCATCGACTGATAATCCTTGGGAAGATTCCGTTGATAAGTACCCTGTGAAAATGATATATTAATTTTATTTATTAGTTTCGTTAGTATTATTATATAAGAAAAAAGAAATGGTGTGTTTACGATGTCGTTCGGTAGAACTTAGAAGGTCTACTTTTAAGTTTTGATTATTTTGCTAGGATTGGAGAAGCAGTGCGTCAAAGGGATTTATTGTAATTCAATATTTACTTAAAGTGATATTAATGAGTACCATATTCATGTAAAATAGTTTTATCGTACAGTACTAGAGTTGGTAGAGAGTTATTGACAAATGAATAGGGCTCATATTTTTTTGGTACGGACTAAAATTTAATTTACACGGAAATAACTTAATTCAAGTGACAATTTTGAATGGTCCAAAAAACATAGTATCAAATAATATCATCTAATGACAAAGACAAACATAAAGAGGCGTAGAGGCGGAACCATAACCACTGAACCAAAAGCAAACATAAAGAGGCGTAGAGAGGTGGAACCATAACCACTGAACCAAAAGCAATGTTTACTCCTGCCAATGAAATCTATCCAAAAACTTAAAAATGCGTATTTTTTTTGCTTTTGTAGGGTTTTTTTTTCTTGTTCTTTTTTCTACTGTAAGTTACTAACTTATAGAATCAAAAACTCAAAATATATTTTGATATCTGTAAAAAAAAATTGTTAACCATTTGTCCATTTAACAATACAATTAATAATTGATTTTTTTCATAATAGATTATAAGGGTGTCCATCAATAATTTTAAATGGTGTTCGTCATAAAATATAATATTATTTCAAAAGAAAGCTTTCAAAGCCTAATAAAAAATAATTATGTGGTTGTAAAAAAGCTATGGTTTTAGTTAAAAAATGCTTAAACTTACACCAATTGTATAATAGGGGGCGTTGATGGGGTGGGCAAAGTGGTTAGTTGTACTGGATCTAATTTTTTTTCATTATATATTATATATATTTTTATTTAAAAATAAAAACGTATAATAACGATAAAGACCCTTTTATTCTAGTTCGTCCTGGGACTTTGAGCATATTTAATTCCTGAGGACCGGTCATGTATAATTTTATTAACATGTGTAGTTTATCTCTCAATTTAGTTATACTCCTCTGTATAAATTTGTAGTTTTACATTGAATGATATAGACAATAGATTTTTCTTCGATTATATGGTATCAGAGATTACCTCATACACTCGATTTTTTTTTCTGATGGCAACAATCGTTCCTCACCCTCTCAATTTGGCAACCACCACCACCGCCTACGCCCTCAACTTCCAGATACCATCGATTGTGTGACAACCGTCAAATTTCGGTCAAGTCAAAGTCAAACAAAGTCAACAAGTCAAACCGGTCAACTCCAATAACCCCTTGTATGTTAGGGTTTACGTTATGTAATCACTATACAATTCGCTATTTTAATGAGAAATCATCATTTGGAAAGTTCATGTGTTTGATTTTCCTTAGCCTTAACAGTGCTAAACAACGAACCAAAGCGATAAAACACTATTGCACAATCATCGGGATTGTGTACGACACTAAAACACGGTTTAACGGGGTTTACGAACCTTACGTTGTGAAGCCGGACACTCAAATTAATCACAAACGAAACCTCTCTAAATCGTTTTCACTCTATCTCTTTCTATTTGAAATCTCTCCCAAATCTCTCTCAAAAGTTACTTTAACTTTTTGTAATCATTTGGGTCATATCGACCCTTAACCGGGTCAAAAATCGCTTGAAACGGGGTAAAAACGGGTAAAATAGCCTTATGGACCTGGAACTGAAGCTTCAGGACCGAAGCCTCTCATCCGAGGCCTCGGATCCGAAGCCTCTCATCAGGACCGAAGCTGAAGCCTCTCAGGAGACCGAATCCGAAGCCATCAGACAGCAGCCTCGCATGCGAGGGTCCGAATCCGGCCTCCATGCGAGGGGTCTCGCAGACGGCCCCTTTTTACCGGTTTTTCGACTACGACTTCGTTTTAACTCCGTTTTTCATTATTTTAACGTGAGATTTTCACCCAAAACTTTATTTTATAAACTAAGGCCCCAAAATATATAAATCTCCAGGGTTTTTATAAAAATATATTAAAAGAATTAGTGGTTGAACTAATTATTGAGGGAATATTTGTTTTTCCTTAATTTATGGCAAAAGCAAACCACCACCACCTCACTCTATGATCAGCCACTCTTTCCCACTACCCCTTGTCTCCTTAGTGGACCTTTACACCCAATCTCCAGCTCTTCCCACGTTCTAAGAGCTGGAGGATTGATCCTCTCTCCTCATTCTCCATAAAGTTCTTTCATTCTACACTTAGCAACCAAAGGACACTCTCCAAAATTCTCTCATCTTTTCTCTCAACTTCAAGAACTTCAAGGCTTTCTTCAGGGATTTCTTTCTTCAATTAGTAAGTATCTTCATCATTCATATAATTATTACACTCCATTCTACTCAAATCATTGATATCTTACACAAATTCCATCTTATTCGGTGTTAGATTCTCGAATCATCAAGACATCTTCTTAGTGTTCTTGGGTTGAATACTTCCTCTCTCTCACTTTCATCTACTGAAACCACATAAGGTGAGTTCATACCCCTACATTTACATGTTTTTCTTAAGTTTTAAGGGGGGAATACAAGTAAAATCATCAAGAACACAATTAAACGTTTTCTATCAGATTACATCAGAAAAGATGAACTTCGATCACGGACTGTTTTGGGCAACTTAAATATTTTAGTTTTCAAAACTGTTCCAGGTGCAAGTAGTTCAAACTCTTAGCTTTAAAATGGCTACTTGCACATCTCCATATGATTTTTCTACAATTTATGGTGATTTTTACAAAACTGTCTGTCATTTCAGAGGCAAACCCGGACCAGTCTGTGATTATGAACATTTTCACCTCTGTTAGAGATCACTAAAAATCATGATAAAATTTACGAACAAACTAGACTCATATTCCAAACTCTCAGAATTTGCGGATTTGGATTTAGAGCTTTGATGATTTTTCTATAAATTTTCTAAGAACAGTAACAGAAACTGTATTCAACGAAAAGTTGCTGTCAATTTCATTTCACATTGTAACATGTTGAGCAAGGTGTATATCTTTATGTGATTATATGTTATTGCAATATATGACATTTTATCTTAATATTTAGACACACATCAGTTTACAAATGGATTTGGACATATAAAATATAAAGAATAACAGTGATTATAATCAAAGTACAACCGATACATTCAAACATTTAATAAACTATTTTGAATATAGTTTGCATACATTACTACGTACTACCCTTGGTTGATAAACTATAATAGGTATAGTTTATGATACATTACATAACACATACATTTAAAAAGGGTACATTTATACAAAGGATATTTTCATTAAGCAAGGTACGGCCATACGGTACCAAGTTTTCATAACACGTAATTCCGTTAATGACTTTGTGAGACATTTACTTCAAATTACCATTAAGTCCTGTATTGTAACCAGAGTCTCCTTGAGGGAGAGCGTGATAGTTGTGTATAGATCTATATTGGGTTTGACAAACCCACACCTAAACTGCATGCAACAGTTAGACCGATAGGTCTGGGGTGACAAATGTCATAACATTTCCGACGCCTGAAGAACGTCGTTTTAGGCAACCTTGGTCATAGTATGGTTATAATAAACTCACATAAAGTATTAATAAACATTGGAATTTACGGGAACTTCATTAAAATTTAACGAGTTTATGTCGATTTAAATTTGCATTGTTTTACTATAAAATATGACAAATTACTTGTACATTTCGGTCTTTGGGTTTTAAGACTACATTTACACATTAAGGAAAATATTGAATTTTCTAACACAAATACTACTTTTACAAACGAAAGGCTTTTAATAATACCAAACAAAATCTTATGAACTCACCAACCTTTGTGTTGACACTTTTTCAAACAACTTGTATTCTCAGGAAATCATTAAACAGGTAACCAAGTGCTTTTGAGGATGGGGCGCTAAGGCGTCTACTATTTCATATTTTGTCAACATATTGTAATTGATTCGTAAACATGTAATTCATACAATGATGTCACTTTTTCAATTATATATATGTTGGTTGTGTTTGCTTCAATTACTATTACAATTGTTGTTATGATACTATACATGAAGTCCTCCACCCCCCGGACGTTTCCGCCATCCTTGGTTTGGGGGTGTGACAGATTGCTATCAAATTTAACAAAGACAATCATTCTCTATGGCGTACTACAATCATTGCAGCTCTTGAAGCTTTTGACCTAGAAGATTTCGTTCTCAATCCCATTCCACCTCCCACCACCGTTGTTGTTCCAGCCACCGATGAAACTCCAGCCACCGCCGATTCTCCTGATGTTCCTGCTACTCCGGCTTCTACTCAATAAAATCTGGAATTTGTTCTATGGAAGAAACGCGATCGGCTTGTTTTACTTTGGCTTCAATCCACTTTATCGGAGTAAGCCCTAGCTATTGTCACCAGATGCACCTCTTCACAGATGGCCTGACTGGCAATTGAGAAAACTTATCAAGCCCAAACTAGGGCAAATCGTATGCAGCTAAAAGCCCAACTCCAATCCCTTTTGAAAGGGTCCATGTCCATGATTGAATACATTGAACGGAAACGTTCAATTCAGACACTCTTGATCAAAACGATAACCTTGTGCCCACTGAAGATCTAATTGGGCATCTCCTCAATGGGCTTGATTCCTCCTATGCCACCCTTATTACAACTTTCATGATGAAGACAAAAGTACTCTCAATCGATGATCTTTCAGGTCTTCTTCTTCAGGAAGAAGCTCGCATTGAATAGGAACATCTACGACAAATGTCAGTTCAACCCACTGTAGTTCAACCTACATCCATTGCCCTTATAGTAAATCGCTCTCACACCAACAACAATCGATCTTTCTCTTCTTCTCAGCGACAAAGCTCTGGCTCCTCTCGCAATATTGACTATAGACGTCATCGACCGGTTTTTCAACTCTGTAATAAACCCGGTCATGAGGCTATTGATTGTTGGCAGGAG